GATCCTGCCCCTCTGCTCAGCTCTGGTGAGGCCGCACCTGGAGTAGTGGGGGCAGTTCTGGGCTCCCCAGGACAAGAGGGATGTGGAGCTTCTAGAGGGGGTCCAGCGTAAGGCCACAAAGATGACTAAGGGACTGGAGCATCTATCGTATGAGGAAAGACTGAGCGAGCTGGGCCTGTTTAGTCTGGAGAAGAGAAGGCTGAGAGGAGACTTGATCAACATGTTCAAGTACCTGAGGGGTGATTGTAGGGAGGATGGGGCCAGGCTCTTCTCCGTGGTGGCCAGTGACAGGACAAGGGGTAACGGGTGCAAGTTGAAACACAGGCAGTTCCACCTCCATGTGAGAAAGAACTTCTTTCCTGTGAGGGTGACAGAGTCCTGGACCAGGCTGCCCAGAGAGGCTGTGGAGTTTCCTTCCCTGGAGATCTTCCAAAGCCGCCTGGTCACCACCCTGTGCCACGTGCTCTGGGTGTCCCTGCTGGAGCAGGGGGATTGGACTAGATGATCTCTAGAGGTCCCTTCCAACCTCAGCCATTCCGGGATTCTGCGATCTGTTTTGCCCCTATTTTCCCCCTCTTGGTGCTGTAGCAGCACTATAACTAGCATATTGTTTAACTGGAATACATTTTGTAGATGCCGTGTTACCAGGGCACCTGGGAAAGTTGGTGCCTGTGAAGCAAGTGAAAAGGTGTGTTCTTAAATTGAGGAGTTAAAAAGCAGCTTTCTCGGAGCGCTTGACTAACACTGGTCTCTGTGCAGCTGATTAGCTGTGACTGATGCATGTGGGAAGGCAGAGTGCTCCAGTGGCTCTGGAACTGGGTGTTATATATGGAAAATGAGTTCTATTTTTGGGTTGCTACTTGCTGTGTGATCTAGAGGGAGTAACTTAATCTTTTAGTTTTCTACCTGAAAAATGAGGATAATGATGCTTACCTTGAGATAACACTTCTACAAATGCACGTAGCTGCTCATCACAAGATATTAACCATTGCCAAGACAAAAGGAAGAAAGGAACCTTTTAAATAATAAACTTTATTTTTCCATGTTTATCTGAGTTTTCTGAGTGTTCTTCAAATGGTAGCATAGTATATCTGGTAAGTGAAATATTTGAAAGCTGTAATGACATTCCAGAAATTGTTTCCATGTACTTTTGGAATTTTTGAAGTGATAAATTGGAGGGGAAAAAAAAAAAAGCTATGAAACTCTTTATTATTTAATTAGAAAACCATTTATCATTGGAGCACATATCTATAAAGTTTTTAAAAAATGTTTAAACATTAAAAATACCCCTATTCTTTACTAAGAAATACCCCTATGCACTAATATTTGAAGAGCTCTACACTTGAGAATTAAGAACCTTTAACTTTTTCTTTCAATTAAATTTGAGAATGTAATCTGGAAGTTAAAGCAATTTAAGCAAAAATTTTCTGTCTTCTAAGTCAAAAACAAATTCCTGATACAAGGTGCAGTCTAAATAACATCCTCCATCTGTGCAGCATATTGTATTGTTTCTATGTATAATGTCATTGCTTGAGTTGAGACTTCTATGTATTTTAGTACTAAATGTTCTCTGGATTGGATCTTTAAGTATGTAAGGAGTTAAGTAGTAGTCAACTAATGAAATTAAATATATATATATATGCACATATATATAAACTGGGTCTTTGATTAGCAGTAATCCTGCTGATTCAGTGCTATTGTTTTGTTCTTTTGGAGTGATAGAGGTTAAAACAATATTTGAATATTCTATCTAAAAACATACCAAAATGACGAAGTACAGAAAATTAGAATATTAAAAATTATTATAAAATAAAAATTAGTTTGTTGCCTTTTTGCAAACAAACTCCTTTCAATGAGGGTTACTCCAAAGAGATTCTTAGTCTTTTTTTTGGCATGACATTAAAAATACACAGTCCTTTCCTTAAACGAATCCAACTTTGTTGAGAATTAGATACCTAAATCTATGAGAAAATTCAAAGTAATATTTCCTTTCTTTCCAGTATAATACATATCCTAAAAATAGTCCCTTAAAATGGGACTGCTGAAAGCAGAGTTGGTTAGATATTTAATAACAAATATCTAATATATAGAGATTATTCCCAAAGTTATTCTTTAAATGTGTCATGGTAACATATACAAAGCAAAGTATGTCTGTAGGTGTGTTATGCTATGTAACTTAGAGGAGAGAAAAAAGCTATATTTTTGTTTTTACTTGTCAATAAAACCTAGCTCTTAAAAATTTCAGCCACATCTTTCTAAGGTAACATTTACCTCCTCACATCTTTAGCATCTATCAGACATGACATGGGACATATTCATTGACCCTAAAAATTTTCATCAGTCTCATGCACTGGAAGGGGGCAGCCCCATCCAGACAAGAGGCTCATTTCAATTTTAACGGCTGTAATTAAAGGTTAATTCACTGAGTCAGGATTAACAAGGAAAGTACAAATGATAGGCAAGCAGCTGCCTTTATAATACAGGATTAGAACAATGCAATTACAATATGAATTAGAAAAAATCAACTTCCTGAAAAGCTTCTGTAATGAATGAACTGCATTTCTCCGTTCTTAATTTTGGTACTTAAACATGAAGACTGTGAAGCACTATTTTTGTTGTTGTTGTTGTAATAACACTTGATTCACAGTGTGTATAATAGGATGGCATGCCAACTGCAATAGCAGCAACTGAT